TGCATTAAACTGTTAAATTAATTACTGTTATTATAGGAAACGAACCCACGAATTTCCTCAATACCTACAATAAAAAAGAAAAAAAAACCCAATTAGAGTCCATCCATCTATTCAAACAAGTAAAAATGTAAAATAACAATAAAAATATTTTAAAAATAAATATTGGATATACATATATATACATATATATATAATCTGACAAAAGTTTGTACAGCTGTTTGTACAAAAGCTGAAGTACCACAAAGGCTTCACTTCCCTCTGTGAAGCAGCAACTAGGAAGTTTTGCAGGGTACCACCACGGGATCAACAGAGGAAACCACTTTGACAGACTTACTCTATTTGAGCTAGACGTCTGAGTAGCTCCGGGTTTTGACTTTGAGCTGTACAGTGTAGAAGGTATTTCTCTCTCTCTCTCTCAACAGAATGAAGCTGCTGAAATTCATCTTAATCATCCACGTGAACTTTTTTTGTCAAGGTACTGTTTACAGTTTTTTATTTATTTAATGCTTTGTTCTCACAAACAGAGTAGAACTTTTGTGAAATCAGCGTAAAATGAAATGATACTATTATCTATCCCTTGTGTTATTTAAAATATATATTAACTGGTCTCATGTACATACAGACTGTTATCTCAAATGTTACGTAAAAGACATGAAGTCAGTGCTGTTGGTAAAGTAAAACGATATAGACCCTGTTTGCTATTTTGTTGCTGTTGTTATAAAACTGTTGTTAACTTGACAGTTTATTGATAAATACTTTAGCTTATTTATGTCAGAACATGTCAGATCCTAAATTTGTCTTTGTAGAGAACCTTTCCTTGGAAAAATAGACTGAAAATAACATGATCGGTATGAAGATGAAAAGCAAATCTCGATATTTCATGTATATTTTCGTTTTTTGTACATATTTCCAATTTTTGTACCGTATTATTTAGCCTTTATTTAAACTTTCCACGTGTACTTTAGTGCAATGAGCACGCCACGCTATTTTAAACCTTCAATTTAGGTGCTTGGGCAGGAAACATTAAATGGAAATCAGAACTGAAGGCAGTCTCTTAGAAAAGTAAGTGAAAAATGTGGAGGAGAGATTAGTTGTAGTTTCTTATCAAACACTTCAGTATAATTGCTCAGAAAACGGTGACACATCGTTTAGCTGTTACTCTTTGCAGTACATGTGGTTTAAAAGCATAGTTTGATTAGCTTTCCAACTAGATGCTCACTCTGTTTCTGATTCCTAAAGAGTTTTTTCCTTTCTTGATTTCAGCTTTGAAAAATGCAACCACTGAAAACGACCCGTCTGATATCCGTGTGAGTGGAAAGGGAAATAACACAAAAATCAGTAGTAAGTGGGATCTTCCCTTTCTGTTTTCCGCATAGTTCACTTTTGTACAAAAACACCGTTATACCAGAATTTTTTGTCCAGAATCATGATAAGCACTCTACTCAGAGGCAGTATAAATGTTTCATCAGCACAGGAAGTGGGGGTGACCTGCTTGTAAAACCCATCTCAGTGAATTTTGCAGGTGCAAATCAAACAG